GCTAAGGGGGAAGTCTCTTGAGAGGAGATCCAGAGAGAGGAATTAAGACATTGGTTTAGAATAGGTTGAATTGTAGACGCATTGCAGAAACCAACATGCTGAGGTCACGTACACTGATGGTTTAAATCTCAAGAAAAGATTCAGGCAGGAAGGGGGTATGGTGCCACTAGCAGGTCAATCTGTACCTGTGAGGTGAGTGCATCAGCAGCATGATGGCGCCTTCAGATTTCCAGATACCCCCAAATTACTGCTGTGCCTTTGGCCACACCCCAAAAACGTGGGGCCAAGTTTACCAAGATAGTAAATGGCCAAAAGTTATGTATGTGGGAAACACACCCACAAACCACCTCTGGCTCAGCTATATAATTGGAGGCATGGCCTCTCTGGCTCCTGATTGAACTGCTTAATGGCCATGATCCCAGAGACTCAGAAACAAATCTCGAAACACAGCGGCTTTTGGCAGAAATGCGTCCGGTCCCTGCAGTAGGTTACCGGTGCTGGGCCAACCCAGGTGGGAATAGGTTTCGTGCCTTGGTCTGTCCCCCTGGCAGCCCAGTGGCCGCCATCCTCCAGAGACCACTGGACAGTCAGGCTTGGGCCCACAGTGACGAGACATGATGGCCTCACGGGATGGGAGTAGAGCTGGTCCTTTCCTGCCCACCCCAAGGAGACCCCAAGTCATCGCCCACAAACAGCCTCTCTGGCTCCTGATCAAGCTGCTTAACGGCCATGATCCCAAAGACTCAGAAATAAATCTCAAAACCCAGCGGCTTTGGGCAGAAATGCATCCGGACCACGCAGTAGGTTACTGTCACCAGGCCACCCCAGGGGGGAAAGGGTGTTGTCCCTCCGCCTGCTTTCCCCTGGTGGCTCAGTGGCCATCATCCTCCAGAGGCCATTGGACAGTCAGGTTTGGGCCTGCAGTGACGAGACATTTTGGGCCTTATGGGATGGGGGTGGAGCCAGCCCTTTCCTCCTCACCCCAACGAGACCCCAAGTCATCGCCCACCAATGGCCTTTCTGGCTCCTGATCAAGCTGCTTAGCGGCCATGATCCCAGAGACTCAGGAGAAAATCTCGGAACCCAGAAGGTTTTCGCAGAAATTCCTCCAGATTTAAGTGTTAAAATTTTAGAATTTCAAAATCGCACAGCCACTACTGCAGCCACGCAGCATCATATGTTATTCATAACCAGCAATAGAAAACAGATTGTCTACTGTTGCATTTTTGGCAGATCTGAGTGTTGGGGTAAAATCCCAAATAATAATGGTGGGTCTAGTGTCAAAATATTGAATGTTATCAAAGTAGAGAGAGAGTAATGCGAAAATCATCTGCCCCACAGGTAGGGGGAAGGTGTGGGATAGAGTATACTGGGATTGTTGGGGATGGAGAATGGGCACTGGTGAAGGTACGGGTGTTTCATTGTATGGCCAAGACTTACACCCAACAGCTTTGTAACTGCTCTCACGGTGATTCAATAAATAAAATTATAAAAAATGAAAATAAAAAAAGATTCAGGCAGGAAAGAGAGATCTGAAACAGAATAAGGTACCGAGGAAATGGAAGGCTCTGAGTCCAGATGAGATCCTGCAGGAAGTGAGTCAGAACAGAAATCCAAGAATCCAGTCCTGGAACATTAAACTGCTGGAGGGGCAAGCGGTAACCAGGAGAGGAGATTGCAAGCACAGCACAAGTCAGAAGAGAACCACAAGGCTTCTCAGGAAGCCCAGGGATGGAAGAGCCGAAGAAGGAGAAGTGAACTGCCAATAAGCCATGTGGACAGAGGCTTAAGAAGCAGCCACTGGGTTCAATGACGCGCAGGCACTGGGACCTTAGGAAGAGTGGCTTGTGCAGCATGACAGGGAGAAGAGACAGGGCCTTAGAAGGAATTTGGAGGAGAGTAATTAGAAGCAGCAGATACAGACCAGTCTTAAAGGGTTTTCAGTATGAAAGAACAAAGAAGCAAATCTAAGGAGAGGAGTATTTGGACTCCGGGGAAGGAACGCTGTGGGAATTTGCAGAGACCGTGGGATCAAACATGCAAAGCACATACTCCATAATGAGTCACAGCCCTCAGCCAAGGGTGGGCACCTTTTAAATAGCTGTTTATCCTTCTTTAAAATTTGTTAAATTGAATTCCCATAAGATATACAGTTACAAAGTTGTCATGACTGAGTTTCAGTCATACAAAGTCCCAGTACCCATCCTTATCCCAGTGCACATTTCCCAACACCCATGTCACCAGTTTCCTTCCCTCTCGTCCCCTCCTCACCAGTCCCATCCCCAGAGCATACCTCTATGTCTCTCTCTCTCTCTCTCTCTCTCTCTCTCTCTCTCTCTCTCTCATTCATTTTCCTTTAAGGCACTGCAGTTTGTTAAATATGTTACTGAAGGCTATCATGCATACCTCCTTTCAGCACTCAGTTCTTGTCAGAGTGATCATCTCCAACAACTACCTTGGTCACACTGGTTTTTTTCTCTGTCCTAGCTCCATTCCCTTTCCCCCTTTGTGGCAAGCTTCCTACCATGGTCCAGTCTTCCTGGCTTCTGTTTCTATGTCTCTGGGTATTTTTCACATAATATGTGAAAAATATATTTCTCCCTCTGACTGACTTCACTCAGCAGGATATTCTCCATGTCAATCAATGTATAAGCAAATTTCATGACTTCACTTTTCCTAGCGGCTGAATAATGTTCCACTGTGCAGAAGGGGGTGGGCACCTTTTTTAGGTAAGAATTATTTTAGCGCGTTGGTATGGTCATGCGAGTGGCCAAAAGAGAAGAAATCAATGACACAGAAACTTTCTAGAGTCACAACCTCAAGCAAACAGGTGAGAGCAGATGGGATCAAGTGCAGAAATGAAAGTTGAAACAAGGGCGAGTCTCCCATGGAAAAAAGCAGGAGGGAGGCCGAGGGGTGTGAAGCAGGAGTGTGTGGTTGGTCACCTCTTCTGAGAGTTTCTGTTTTCTTCAAGAAAGAAGAAGTCATCAAGGAGTTTCCAAAGAGAGGAAAAATAGATAGGAAACTGACATCAGGAGAATAAGAGAGTGAGCAGATGGGAAAATGGGGTACGATGGAGGAGGAGAGTCAGGGTCCAGCAGAGGAAAAAGGTCGTGAATTTAAAGGGAGTTCAGTCATTACAGTGGGGACTGGAATAGCCCAGGTCTAAAATCCTGAAAAATTGGATTTCCAAGAGCCTCAGAGTCATCCAGCCTCACTATCTCTCCCCCATGCCCAGCTAGGTGTCTCAATTTCATAAAATGAAGGCACCAGCACAGAGAAGCTACATGGGTTTTTTTTTTGCTCAGGATCCAACAAGAGGAAGAAGCAAAACCAGAATTCAAACCAGCAGCACCATGTGAAGTTACTATTTTAACCTTTGAATGCTTCTTCCCATGTTTGGAATTTCATAAGGGCTTCCCAAAGAACCTTTTCCTCCTGCCTGAAATGTGGAGATTTTGAAAACTCCTTCCAACGTAAACATTTCAACATGCTCTTAGTTTTCAGAACCATCCGCCAAATTCAAATTAAAAACAGTTGTTTTCCTGTGGATTTTTCTCCCAAAAGGCAATTAAAAATAAACACTGAATTCCTTGGAAGAATCCAGTCATTGCTGAAGTACTTCAACAAGTCAACACTTCGAAAGTTCTCATTTCATCCACTCTTGCTTTCCAGGAAATGCTATGATAACCAGAAACAATGAACAACATCAGTTTTAGGGATGGAAAGTCATAGAAAGGAAGCAGGATTGTAGTGGGAAGAGGAAACTGTAAAGGAGTTAGATTGTCAAATCTAGAAAGAAAAAGGATAAGAAATTATCTACTTCTTGGGCCAGAGTGACACTGTAGCAGGTAGGGTGCTTGCCTTGCATGCAGCTGACCCAGGTTTGAACTCCTGCAACACAAATGGTCACAGCCCCACCAGGAGTGCAGAGCCAGGAGTAAGCCCTGAGCATGGCCAGGTATGGCTCAAAAAAAAATTATCTAATTCTTGGTCAGCAATAAACATAAGGCAGACTAATCATATTTATCAGGTCATGATAACTTGATCCTAAGATCAGAACAGAACCACCAGGGACTTTTAAAGTACTATTTCCATAGGGTTCTTGAAGATAATGTTATGTACGCACTACACTTATGCCAACAATGAATTAATCATTGTCAAGACTAATGGTTTCTTAGTTTCCAAGGAGTTCACTACATAATAAATATGTACTTTGAGCCACGGATGTAGATCAGAAGTAGAGCACATGTTTCATATACACAAAAACCCTGGACTTATCTCCTCTATAAAGACATACACACAGAGATACAAATACTCTGCCTCTTAATGTAGTAATGACAGGTACAACTCTTTCTTTTCTCATCTGATCCCTGAGTTCACATAATCTAAATATATTTCTATGAACCTGGGCCTGGGAAGGCCAATGAATTGGGGAAAATATGAGCTTTCAACTCAGAGATGGTCATTAACCGTGTCAGGGAATTATCACTAGGCCTCAATCAAAGATATCATTTTGAGAATTCAGCGAGAAAAAAACAGCCTGAAAACTTGTTGCACGATACTAGAGTTTGCGTCTAAGAGAAATACTAAGGAATCTATTATTATAACCTATAACACAATGCCATTTTCTGAAGCTTTAAAAGAACAAAAAGAAAAGGGGGGAAAAATACCCCTCAAACAATTTCATTCTCTCTTTGTTGAACCGAGTTCCTCTGCTTCTGAATGTACCTGGAGACAGATCAGAAAAGGAAGCAAGACAAAAAAGAAAAAAGGAAAAGCCTCCTGCCAGGGCTCCAGCGGGGAGGCTGTGCTTTCAAGTCTCTCCCATGGCTTTCTTAGATGTCTCTCTACCCAAGACAATGAATCACTCCTCAGACCCGGGCTACTGGGAAAGAGAGAAACAAATGATCACATCCCCGACGTGCTAAGGTTTTTGTGTCGGATTTTTTTGCTCCGTTTTGTTTTTTAAAATGTTAGCTTTAAACTCGGCTTCCTACCTGGCTCCACATCAGAAGAACAAGGCAAAGAAAAGGTTTCCACAGAACTAAAAGTCCCACTGGTGGCCTCCTGACCGCGCCTCTGCAGCACGTAATCTCTTATGTCAGCAGCTGATGGCAGGTCCAAAACACTATTCTCCTCGGAATGGCTGTGTGGAGTGGCTTCCTGGGCTGCCATGGTCCTGCCCTGGAGAAGAAGAAAACAATTTAATACAAAAGACTTTGCAGAAGAGGAGCCTGCATGAAGGCTGGCCTGCAGGACTGACATTCCAGCATCTTCAGGATGCAACAACCGTAGGACCAGAATAATGGGCTCTCCTGTAATGAATGGTCACCCTTGTCTTTACTTTAGTTCCACTATTTCTGACCATGTTTTCTTCATCATGAGAAAAAAAAAATTACCCTGAACACAGAAAGCAGCCATTAATCATTCCAGCTGGAAAATCAGCTGCTGGTCGGGTAAGGATGAAATACTGCACAGCGCTGTAATTCCAGGACTGCAAGAATATTTCATTCCAGGGCTACAAGAATATTTCATTCCAGGGCTACAAGAAGAGAGTGTGTACAGGCTCAAGGCAGTAGGCCCCTTTGCAGTCTCCAGGACTTATTCATTTGGAGACAAAGGGAGACAAATTAAATGAAAAAAGATTTGAAAACACCAGCTAGGGTTTGATAGAGACTTCATAATGTAGAATATTAATATGGAATGCAGATGTGAAAAATATAGTTCCACAGTAGAAAAAGAAAAAAAAGAAACAAAAAACCTCTAGAAGAGGATATCTCAGATTCATTTCAGAGCTAATTAGGTGAGTGTTTTAAGTTCTTAATGGTGAGATTACAAGTGATTGACATTTTCCTCTGTAGCCTACTCAACATGCGCTCAAGTCAACAATTACTTGAAAGGCCAGGCCTGCTGCCAGCCCCTGGGGGTAAATGCGATGTGACAGACCCTTTCTTCACTTTGTTTACACTTTGGGATGATTCAAACACACAGATGTGCCTTGGCGATACAAGATAAGGGTGGGATTCGGAAGGGCTTTCTAGAGGTGGGCTTTCTCAAGGAGATTGGACCCAGGCATGGGATAGACCAAGTGATGGCAACTGGAGACCAGGACAACCAGCTTTGCCAGCCCCGATGGCCTGGGTGTCAGGAACAGAAGCTGAGAGTCACTGAGAATTGAAGAGGGCAGCTCTGTGGTCTCAGGCTGAACGACACAGCAGGGCCCAGCCACCACTAACAACTCTGCTATGCAAACAAATGAGTCCTAGAGACTGCAAAGGGGCCTACTGGCCTGAGCACGTACACACTGAGAAACAAATGCTTCTGATGATTTTCTTTTATGCCCTGGGCCCATGTCTTCTTGTTGTCTAGCTGGAGGGTGCTGCCCATCTCACAACAAAATCACTAGGAGCCTGGGGATAATCTGGTCCCTCTGTGACTCTGCCTCCTGAATGTTGTCCCCATTAACTCTTATTCTAGCCAGCACCTTGGGCACTAGTACCCTGGGTCACAAATATCATGTTGAGAAACAGCACAATCAGATCTATAGATTTGGTGGTTGAAGACTAGATAGATTTATAGAGTGTCAGCTTCATAGATGGTGGTCTCAGAAGCAAAGGTAGTCCAGGTAAGAGGGGAGAACAAGAGAATGAGGGCAGGTGGAGAGGAGCTAGTGGGTACAGAGTCAGGACATACTTAGGGACAAAAATAAAAGAGGGACTTAAGATTGAGTAACTGAATGGAAGGGCTGGAGAAAATACAAAGTGGACACTTGCCTTACATAGGGCTGACCCTGTCTGAATTCCCTCGGCAGCCCACATGGTCTCCCGAGTCCTTCAGGAGTGATCCCTGAGTGCAGAACCAGGAATAACCACTGGCTGCGGCTCAAAAACAAACAAACAAATAAATAAAAGCAGCAGCAGCAGCTTTGGGTCAGAGTGATAGTACAGTGGCTAGGCCACTTTCCTTGCATGTAACTGACCTGGGCATCCTATATGCTCTCCTAAGCACTGCCAGGAGTGATTGCTGTGTGCAGATCCAGAGTAATCCCTCAGCTTCGCTGGATGGGACTAGAGAAACTAAGGGTCAAGGAAGAGTGACCTCTTTGGTGGAGGATTGTATAATCTCTTGAGTTAGAGAAGACCAGTAAAGGAATAGGTTTAGGTGAGACAGTATTTCAAGCGATGAAACACTATCCAGCTGTCAAAATGACAGAACTTAAAAGATTTCACAGATGTATGTTTGAAGAAGCAACTTCTGAATAACATTATCAGTTCAATAATGAGCACAGCTAACAGTTGTCTAAAGCTTTTGGGTGCTGGGCATTGTGTTAAGTAAGAGTTTTAGCTGCGACAGCATAAATGAGGCAGGTAATCCTATCATTACCCTTATTTACATTATTTACAGCCAGACGGTCAGACCAGAGACAGAAGTTGCATAACTGGCCCAAGTAAACCTTGCAAGAAAGCAGCAAGCCAGGACGAACCCAGCTCCGCGTGACCCCGGAGTCTCACGTCAGCCCCCCACGTAGCCCAAGTCACCACAGATCAAATGCAGGCAAGAGGTGCATAAAAACAAATCAACACAGAAGCCTGGCAAGATCATTCTTGTTTGAGGACATGCGGTCACATGCTGGTGTGGACATTTGCTCAGGCAGAGTGAGCCAAGACATCAGCTGATTGCTCTTGAGAGGAGCAGAGATCAAGGCTCCCAAAGAAACAAGAACATCCTGTCTTTTCACGGGTGCTCTATTAGCCAACCAAATCTGAAGTTTCAGCAACACCTCCACTATGGGCATCACTGTTCGTCCTTCCCCCCTCAGGTTACCAAACATAGTCCTGGAGGCTTCTGGAAGGGAAGAGACAAGTCAGTAAATGTCACAGGCATATCCTGTCTGCCTGCAAAGGTGTTTTTAAATCAACCATCAACAGAGCATATTGGCGGTAGAAATGAAAGGAATCCTTTTTAAAAAGCAAAGAATTACATTGATGGTGAAAATTTTTTGTTTGTTGAGGATTACTTTTATAAAATGTCACGTGCATTTCAAACTGGACATTTGGTAAGAGAACGAGGAGTAGAGAGAGAGAGTGATACTGAAATAAAGAATCCTTTCTGTTATAAAGTAAATATCTGTGCATGAAAAATAAATTATTTCCAACTCTGCATTTATGGAGGAGAAAGCCAGTAACAGAAATAAACGTTCCTTCTTCTGGTGTGAAGCCACCTCTGTTGGCAAGCAGAATGCAATGATTAATTTTCCTATACCCAAAGTTTTCAATAAATGGTTCACTTTCTTTCTTCAGATTATGCGCTCCCCTCCTCCCCTTTAAACAGCTTTAAATACACACTCCAAATTATATCCTCCTTAATTCTATTAAATACTGAAGAATTTAAGTTGTCCTGTCACAGAAAGTCTCTTAGTACATAAAAACATGTTTCTGAGATAACACAGACATTCTACAGTTTTACACCAACTTCACTCCTTTTTTTTGTTTTGTTTTGTTTGGAGGCCATAACTGGAAGTTCTCTGAACTTCTAGTTCTGTGCTCAGGATCTACTACTCATAGTGTTTGGGGGACCATATGGGATACCAAGATGAACCTTGGTCAGATACATACAACCTTCTTATAGACCTAACATGCGAATCAGTCAGGATCCACTTATGAAAAATGTTTTAATTTCAGTAATTTTTTTATTAAGGCTCTGCCCACCTGATATTTTATTTGAAAATAAACTTCAGACAGCCAATGAAACATTCACATAGCCACCGCCTAAATTTCCCAATAAGCATGTTATTATGATTTTCTTTATCAAGCACAATTCATCTATTTTTCTACAAGTAGGTACAATCCATTTTTACATCATCTACTCGTATCCATCAATTCATCTTATTTTTATATCTATCTCCACTTATATTTTAACATAATGAAAGTTTCTGAGCTAAGGTGTGCTGTGATCAATTGCTTAGGTTGGAAGCTGAGCTAAACATGAGTGAGAGATGGGTAAACCATAGGCAAGAAACACAGCTGGGGGCTGGAGACAGCACAGAGGTTAAGGTGCTTGCCTTGAACACAACTGACCCTGGCTTGATTTCCGGCATGACAATGATCCCCTGAACACAGAGCCAGTAGTAAGCCTGATGTGCTCCAAACTCCACTGTTGTGCTCCAAAACTGCTCCTCCAAAGAAGCCAAGCAACTGGGACACTCTGGAGACATGTCCAGAACGGTACAAGGATCATAATTTTGAACCCCTGCTGTCACTTTGTAGCTTGCCACCTTGGGCAAGTCACTTAATCTCAGTTTCCTCAACTATAAAAATGGCTTGATGACTATATTTACCTTAAAGAGTTGCTATAAGAATTATATGAAACTAATGCATGTAAAATACTTACTACAGTATCTGTGGTCAATAATGCTAGCTCCAACAAGCAAAAGAGTAATAATTAAGAAAAACAAATCATAGGCTCCTTTCTTCCCAGCCTTCCTCCTGTCCATTTGCTCCTATTTCCCAGATGTCTTCTTGCTTTTTTTTTTAAATCCTAGACCGTCCATAATCTTGTGAATACCTGAAATTTCCCTTCCCTGACTAATCTGTCTTTCATCTCTTTTTCTTTTTCTTTTTTTAACTTCTCATGCTGCTTTCTTTCTTTATTCAGCAACATCCTGGTCTTTTTGCTTTTTGGGTCACACCCAGCGATGCACTGGGGTTATTTCTGGTTCTGCACTCAGGAATTACCCCTGGCGGTGCTCAAGGGACCATGTGAGATGCTGGGAATCGAACCTGAGTCAGCCGTGTGCAAGGCAAACACCCTACCCGCTGTGCTATCACTCCAGTCCCTGTCTTTCATCTCTTTTGTCAAAATCCCAATACAGATGAATCCACCTATCCATCCCTTATGCACAAATTGAAGGAGAGAATCACAGTACAGTATGGGCTTGGCTTCTGCTATATACAAGAATGGCCAACGGGATGGGGAAGGTGATCCAGCTCATTGAATCCTGAAATGTTTCTCTCAGCCTCTCCTTGATTCTTTCATGTTTCCTCCAGTCTTCTTCAAGTTACCACTTTCTTTTTTTTTTTTCTCAAATTTTATTAGTGAAACACCATGAGGTACAGTTGTAGACTTACAAATTTTTGTGCTTGGGTTTCAGTTATACAATGATCGAATACCCATCCCTCCACCAGTGCCCATTTTCCACCACCACAGGTCCCAGTATTCCTCCCACCCCCCCATCCCCCTCCCCCCATTCCACCCTGCCTCTGTGGCAGGGCATTCCCTTTTGTTCTCTTTCTCCTTTTGGGTGCTGTGGTTTGCAAAACAGACACTGAGTGGCAATCATTTTTGGTCTATAGTCTACTCTCAGCATGCATCTCCCATCCTGCGAGAATCCTCCCAACACCCTTTATTTGGTGCTCCCTTCTCTATCTGAGCTGCCTTTTCCCCTAGTGTGTGCGGCTGGCCTCCAAACCACGGAGTAAACCTCCTGGTACTTGTC